ACAAAACTACAGGAAGATCTAAAAAAATTTTTCGAATGGTCTGAGAAACGGCAGATGAAATTCAATGTGGACAACCACATACCAGATACCAGATGAACAACGATGCCATAGAGAAATCCGAATGAGAGAGAGATTTAGGAGTAATGATAAGTAGGAACCTTAAGCCAAGTAAACAATGTGTTTTTGCTTGTAACAAGGCTAATAAGGTACTTGGGTTCATACAAAGGAGTGTTAGTTACAAGACTAGCGAGGTCATCCTAAGACTGTATCTTGCTCTTGTGAGACCACACCTGGATTACGCAGTTCAGTTCTGGTCACCGTATTACAGAATGGATATAGAATCCTTGGAAGAATTTAGAAGAGAATGACAAGACCAATCCCAGGCATTAGGAACCTTGAGTATAGAGACAGGTTAAAGCATCTTAATTTGCACTCCCTCGAGAGATATAGAGCGAGGGGCGACGTGATAGAGGTGTATAAGTGGAAGGCAGGGCTAAACAAAGGGGACATTACAAAGGTACTTAAACTATCCAACCAGGAGCGAACTCGTAACAATGGTTTTAAATTAGACAAATTTAGATTTAGGCGTGAAATAGGTAAACACTGGTTTGGAAACAGAGTAGTGGATGAATGGAACAAGTTACCAAATATCATCATTAACTCGAATACGCTGAATAGCTTCAAACATAGGTTGGATGCTTATATGAAGAATAGGGGTTGGGTGTAAACGGGACTGCCCAGTATGGGCCAATAGGCCCGCTGCAGTTTCCTCCATTCTTATGTTCTTATGTTCTTATAGCTGGCAGTAGAACTCTATTTAAGTAATCAATGTTTCAAAGACTTGGATATTGGCAATAAAGAAGAAAAGAAGTTAAGTGATGAGTTTAATGAAAACCTAGGAGAGTGTATAAACCCTGACAAAAATGACGGTAAAGAGATAGATTTAGTCATAGAAGAGGAAACGTTGGTGGCTATATTGTAAGAAGGTTTTGTGTGAAATACCCTCACTTAGGCCAGAAAGTCGAGTGTACATCCATGACCAAAAAATGGACAGAAGAAATAAACAGAGGTGAACTGTATGTTCCTTCTGACACTCTATTAACCATTATGAGAGACGTACTTAAGGCTGTACATGGGGACAGTCTTAAGGAGGAAAGACTGTTTCAAAACAATTGTGTCTGAGATAGAGAGTTGATGTACCCCAGGATGTTTTATCTTTCTTTGTTAAAATATCTGTGTTCCTTAAACTGAACAGTAGTATTAGGATAAATAAGAAAACAAGTAAGAATTGAAGAAGTGAAAATAAAAAAAAATATGAAAATATAAAAACGATAGAAGGAAAAACAGATTGTCTTGGGTTACAGTTGATGTAAATCATATATGCTATTTATTTATAACTTATGTGTGTAAATAAAATATCAGTTATCATGATATATTTATTCCCCTTTTAGAGACATACACACTAATACGGAAACATTTCACAGGAGGCAGTGATGAACTCAAGTGCACAGATAAATTGTACTGAAATAAGCGTATGAATTTCAGGAAATTAGTAAGAATATTCAAATATACCAGGATATAGGAAAGGGGTTAAGATGACGATACGGTAAAGATAGACAGACTAGTGGAGAGAGAGAGAGAGAGAGAGAGAGAGAGAGAGAGAGATAGAGAGAGAGAGAGAGAGATAGAGAGAGAGCCAACCAGCTATAGTTCGCGTGACGTCACTGCGCAGAGCGAGCGAAAACTAGACCACTGTCTGGCCAACTTCTCCATATTGACCTTGCCCTAACCTAACGCTAACGTAACGTAACATACCCAATTTAATCTAATCTAACGTAGCATAAAATATCCTATCCTATCCTAACCTCCCCCAAGTAGCTTCAGGGTATTTAATCATCCGGTGAAATAAACAGGGGTCAATCTTCAGGTGATCCGATTAATACGACTGAGATCGATTGTAATTAAACGGCTCATTAGTGATGGACTTTTAACAAGATATGTAAATTAATATTGAACTCGTTAATAAATTACCCTAATAACGAATAATTTAGAAATTGAATAAATAAAGAATAAGAAAATATGACGAAACACTTGGAGAAATAATTAGAAACATTTTTAATTAATATCATGAAAAAAAAATTAGAATTATTAGTATAAAACACAAATATAAGAATGAATGAGTAACGAAAGGAAAAGCAACGAAAATAGAAATGAGTAAACAACGAACGTCTCGGGGGAGGGTGGTTTTTTTTTTTTTTTTTTTTTTGTAGGGAAAGGAGGAATGAAGGAAGATTAGAGGTGGGGGAAGGAAGTTATAGTTCGGAAATTGAAGAAATTCAGGAGGAGGTAAGAGAGGGCGGGCTGACCGCCTAGCTAAGCTAATAGTGTGTTAGGGTTGTGTCATGGGTTAGTTATTGTCTGCCGGTACAGGCACTAGACAGCCTACCCTGTCCCATTTATGGGTGTTTTAAGGGCCTTATTTCATATTCCGCCGACCCTACTGGCGGATGCTGGTCTAGGGAGGTTGTCTATTGCCTGGCCGTGTAGATCGGGGGTGGTAATGGACCTTTTGAGATTTCGTAGCTTTTTGGGAACCATGTATGGTTGTTGTCGTTATCTGGTGGGAGTCTTTGAAGGAGTTCTTGCTCTGATCGTTCTATCTTTTGCCAGATTCTGCTGGCCAGGGTGTGCAGCTGCTGGTTGATGGGTTTCATTCTCAGGTCTCTATGTATCTCGGCTGTGGTTCTGGTGAAGGGGTATCTTTCACCTGTGACGAATCTTAGGGCTTCATTTTGGACCACCTGTAATTTTAATATTTGAGTGGTGCTCATAGTATGAAGAGGTATTGCTGGGTAAGTTAATATCGGTGTGATAAATGATGTCACCAGGCGGAGTTTTATTTTCTCAGGAAGCGCTTTAAAGCGGTATAGTTTTCTCAGCTCTCTTCTTGCTTTTTCCTTCCTGGTGTGGACATGATGGGAGTAACCTGTCGTGGATATATGTAGGCCCAGGAGGGTGCCTCTGCTTTTGTATTCTATCTGGGCATTATTGGTTACTAATGGATGGGTTTTCCTTCTGCATAAGGGTATCACTGTGAATTTCGGGAGACTGGTTTGGATTTTCCATTGTTTTTCGTAGTTATTTACCCTTTCTAATTCCCGCCTGGTGTTTTCGGCCTGTAACGCTCGCGATTTTCCTTGATGTGTTGTTATTTGAGTGATGTCGTCTGCATACATAATATCTTCGTTACCTATTCTAGTGGGAGGCGGGGTGTCACTTGTGTAGATAATATATAGGGTGGGGGAGAGGACGCTTCCCTGAGGGACTCCACTCATGAGTGGGAAGGTCTCTCCTGTGTGTTGTCCTACCCTCAGTCTAGCATTTCTGCCGTCAAGAAAGTTGCAAAGCAACTTTTCAATGTTGGTGGGAAGTCCGAGTTGGAGGATCTTATATTTTAGACCGTCGTGCCAGACTTTGTCAAATGCCTTCGCTACATCCCGGAGAGTTAGATTACATTGTCTACCACTCGCCGCGGCTCTGGCTATGTTTTCACATGCCAGGGCTATCGCTGTTGTGGTGGACTTCCCTTTCCTGAACCCGAATTGTCTGCAGTTGACTCTGTTTGTTGTTTCCAGGTGATTTCTCAGACGGTTATTGATGATTTTTTCTAGGATTTTTCCAGGTACTTCGAGGAGGGAGATCGGTCTGTAGTTTAGTGGGACGGCGGGGTTCTTTCCTTGTTTTGGTGTTAGGGTAATAATGGCCTCTTTGAATTTAGTTGGGAAGTAGCCCGAGGCCAGGCAAGCGTTCATTGTGGTTCTCAGTCTCTCCATGGCCGGGTTGTTTATGTGGCTGAGGATCTCCTTGGTGATGCCTGAATAACCAGGGGCTTTATTTTTGGTATTGGAGATGGCTCTGTTGAGTTCTTCCGAGGTGATTGGTTTGGACAATGGGCTGTCCACTCTCGGATCCTCCCATATGATTTCAGAGGAAGGCTGAGTGCGGTGTGTCTGGCCCCGGAGTTCATCAAGGACGAGCTCCTCGTGGGTACCATCGAATCCCCTATTCTCTTCATTTGTGATTCGGAAGATGTTCCTCCATATGTCCCTGAATATGGGTTCTTTGTCTTGGTCGTCATATATTTTACTTCCTGTGTGGTCAGTTATATATGATGACTCGTTATGGCTGCAACCTTTCAATCTCTTAACTCGACGCCAGAACTCTCCTGGACCGTTGTATGTATGTGAGAGTTGTTCAACTATTTCGGCCCATTTAAGGTTGCTTTGTTCCAGAGATCTTGTTTTTATTTCCTCCCGGATTCTTCTGTATGTATTGTAGCTTACGATGTCCCAACCATGGGTCTCGGCTCTCTGTTGTAGCAGTTGGAACTGGTTTGTGAGGGCTATGAGTTCTGGAGTCTGTTGTGGGTGTGGGAGAGTCCTGTTGCGTTTGAGAGGTGTGGCCTCCAGGTAGGCTGTTCCTATGGCTTCACACCATGTGTTGATTTCTTCATCTATTATGTTCACCGGCTGGTTGTCTATGGTCTGCAGGATTGTCATGTCCTTGGCCTCAAGTTCGGCTGTAGCTTTTTCGTTGAATAAGCCCCAGTCGGTCTGCTTGGCGATCCTCCGTGGTGGAGCTGGTATAGTTATTGGTGTTGCTGAGATGGTCATGATTGTAGGTAGGTGGTCGCTGGAGGTTACAGGGCCTTGTTCAAAGAGATAGTTGTGGAAGCATCTGCCGTTTGTTATTGCTATATCTGGAGTAGTGGCTGAGTTCCTACTGTAGAACGTGGGGAAGTCTGGGTTCTTCCACACCTGTCTCGGGGGTGGGGGTTCCTTCCACACCTGTCTCGGGAGTGGGAGTTTCTTCTACACCTGTCTCGGGGGTGGGGGTTTCTTCCACACCAGTCTCGGGGTGGGGGTTTCTTCCACACCTGTCTCGGGGTGGGGTGGGGGTGGGGGTTTCTTCCACACACCTGTCTCGGGGGTGGGGATTCTTCACACTTGTCTCGGGGAGTGGGGGTTTCTTCCACACCTGTCTCGGGGGTGGGGGTTTCTTCCACACTTGTCTCGGGGTGGGTTTCTTCCACACCTGTATCGGGGTGGGGGTTTCTTCCACACCTGTCTCGGGGGTGGGGTTTTTTCCACACTTGTCTCGGGGTGGGGGGTTTCTTCCACACTGTGGGGGTGTGGATTCTTCCACTTGTCTCGGGGTGGGGTTTCTTCCACACCTGTCTCGGGGTGGGGCTTCTTCCACACTTGTCTCGGGGGTGGGGTTTCTTCCACACTTCCACACCTGTCTCGGGGTGTGGGGGTTTCTTCCACACTTGTCTCTGGGGGTTTCTTCCACACCTGTCTCGGGGGTGGGGGTTTCTTCCACACTTGTCTCGGGGGTGGGGGATTCTTCCACTTGTCTCGGGGGTGGATTCTTCCACACTTGTCTCGAGGGTGGGGATTCTTTCCACACTTGTCTCTGGGGTGGGGGTTTTCTTCCACACCTGTCTCGGGGTGGGGGTTCTTCCACACCTGTCTCGGGGTGGGGTCTCGGGGACACCTGTCTCGGGGGTGGGGGATTCTTCCACACTTGTCTCGGGGTGGGGTTTCTTCCACACTCGGGGGGGGGTTTCTTCCACACTTGTCTCGGGGTGGGGGTTTCTTCCACACCTGTCTCGGGGGTGGGGGTTTCTTCCACACCTGTCTCGGGGTGGGGGTTTCTTCCCACACTGTCTCGGGTGGGGTTTCTTCCACACCTGTCTCGGGGTGGGGGGTTTCTTCCACACCTGTCTCGGGGGTGGGGTTTCTTCCACACCTGTCTCGGGGAGTGGGGTTTCTTCCACACCTGTCTCGGGGTGGGGGTTCCTTCCACACTGTCTCGGGGTGGGGGGTTTCTTCCACACTTGTCTCGGGGGTGGGGGTTCCTTCCACCACTCTCGGGGTGGACACCAGTCTCGGGGTGGGGGTTTCTTCCACACTTGTCTCGAGGGGTGGGTTTTCTTCCACACTGTCTCGGGGTGGGGTTTCTTCCACACCTGTCTCAGGGTGTTCGGGGTGGAGGTTCCTTCTACACCTGTCTCGGGGTGGGGTTCCCTTCTACACCTGTCTCGGGGGTGGAGGTTCCTTCTACACCTGTCTCGGGGGTGGGGGTTCCTTCCACATCCTGTCTCGGGGGTGGGGGTTTCTTCTACGACTCTCAACATGGGTTTACAAAGGGAAAATCTTGTCTTACAAATCTGCTGACATTTTTTAGTAAAGTCTTCGAGGTAGTAGAAAATGACGAATATTACGATATTATTTACTTAGACTTTAGCAAAGCGTTTGACAGAGTACCGCATCAGAGGCTTCTGAGAAAAGTTAAGGCTCATGGTATCGAGGGGAAAGTTTTAAATTGGATAAAATCATGGCTCAACGATAGAACACAGAGGGTCAGCGTAGATGGTGTTAAATCTGAGTGGGGCTGTGTAACCAGTGGGGTTCCCCAGGGGTCAGTACTGGGCCCACTCTTGTTCATAATCTATATAAACGATCTAGATACTGGGATCAGCAGTGACATAAGCAAGTTTGCGGATGACACCAAAATAGGGGGGCAGATTAATTCAGGACAGGATGCAACTGCACTACAGGAGGATTTAAATAAACTGCAAGAGTGGTCAGAAAAATGGCAAATGAAATTCAACACCAGCAAGGGCAGCGTACTTAATATTGGAAGAACAAATACTGTCATTGTATTCAGCCTTAGCAACATCGACCTAGAGAAGTCGACTTGTGAAAGAGACTTAGGGGTACTTGTAAGCCCGGACCTACGGCCTAGAAAACAGTGCGTTAATGTCCGAAATAAGGCAAACAGAGTATTCGGTTTTATATCTAAAAGTGTAAGTAATAAGAGTGCAGAGGTCTTATTGCAACTATATCTTGCGCTAGTCAGACCGCACCTCGATTATGCTGTTCAGTTCTGGTGCCCTAATTATAGAATGGATATCAATTCACTGGAGTCGGTGCAGCGAAGAATGACGAAAATGATTCCGGGACTTAGAAACCTTCCATATCTAGATTGATTAAAGAAACTAAACTTGCATTCCCTAGAAAGACGAAGATTGTAGGGAGATATGATAGAAGTATTTAAGTGGGTGAAAGGAATCAATAAAGGAGATATAGATAAAGTTCTTATAATATCCGAGCAGGATAGGACTCGCAGCAACGGATTTAAGTTGGATAAGTTTAGGTTTAGGAGGGAGATAGGAAGAAACTGGTTCACAAATAGGGTGGTGGACGAGTGGAACAAGCTTAGCCACTTTGTAGTAAGTGCGGGAACGCTGGAGAGTTTTAAAAGGAGGCTGGATAGATTCATGGATGATAGAGTGGTAGTAACTCTCGACAGGAGCTGCCATGCACAGGCCAACCGGCCTATTGCAGACTCCTTATGTTCTTATGTCTCGGGGGGGGTCCTTCCACACCTGTCTCGGGGAGAGGGGGTCCTTTACACCTGTCTCTGGCGGAGGGATTTCTTCCACATCTGTCTCTGGGGAGGGAGAGGGAGGGGGTCCAACGCGTTCATCAACCCACATATACCCACACCCCCCCTCCCGCCCTCAACCACGAACCGGTTCTCTCCCCACCATGGATGTTAGGGAGGGGGGGGGGGAAGGAGGCGTGACAGGTTAGGATAGGAGGCGTGGCAAGGGACAGGTTAGGATAGGAGGCGTGGCAGAAGACAGGTTAGGATAGGAGGCGTGGCAGAAGACAGGTTAGGATAGGAGGCGTGGCAGAAGACAGGTTAGGATAGGAGGCGTGGCAGAAGACAGGTTAGGATAGGAGGCGTGGCAAGGGACAGGTTAGGATAGGAGGCGTGGGAAGGGACAGGTTAGGATAGAAGAAAGCCCTATGTTTGAAATATCTGCAGATCGAGTGTGTGTGTGTGTGTGTGTCCAAAGTCTGCAAGGATCATACAGTGAGTAATCCTCATTAAGCATCTCTCCTTTGGTGTTGTGAAGATAATCAGAAACACGTGAAGATTAGACACCTCAGTTTATTTCATCATAAAAATTAAACACCCTTACTCTACCTACGGGGGTGTTAGGTTAGGTTAACTTTAGGGTGGTTAATCTTAAGGTGAAATAAGCCGGGGTGCCTATTTAATCTTTATACGTGATCCTAAAAGAGTATCAGTGTAATTTTTTCCTGTGTGTGTGTGTGTGTGGTCGTAAGTCATTCAGCTTGATCCATTCTGATATCTCCATTTATGAGAAATATTTGTCTTAAGAAAGGTTTGAGTATCTGGAACCTGTACGTGTACAGTTACCTTCACTGGCCTGGTAAGTCGGTCTGCTCACTCACGTGTTATTTACTCGAGGTAAACACGTCAACTTATGGAACACTTAAATGTCTTAAAGGGTCAGACTACTTCAACAAGATCACGCTAGAGTTATGTCAAATCTCTTGGAAAAGTAAAGAAAATTAAGCATCAACTCATGAAAAAAAATCCTATGTTACTTTCACCGCGTAACTGGTGATCAAGGAACGCATCTGGTAACTTGTCTCAGAGCAATAGCAACGCTTTTTCCTATGGCTGTCTGCTGTGAGGTATCGAGTCAGCTGGATTGGTTCTCATCCAGCGTCAAGACTCTCCCTCACTTAACCTGGACCGTGATACTGAGTACTGGAGTGGTGTGTTAAGTTAATAGTGACGTGAGGTTCAGTGGAACAACCTTGGCCCAGCATGGAATCATGTCTGGACTCCTGCCAGAACTCACCCCCAAGATATAGTGTGTGTGTGTCTGGAGTGAGTGAGTATTAAGTGTCAGTAACTTCTGCTAGGCTAGACCACAACAATCAAGTCGATGTAGACATTCTCACGAAACCTCACACGAATATGTAACTCCATTAGACGAACCACACAACACCCATTTAGTTCTGTCAGCTGAAGTTTGTGTGTTAAAGATCAAGGTCAGAGATCAAATATTGGTGTGTTAATATTTATAGCTAATGACCTACGTGTTGAAGTAAACAGCGAATAATGTATCAACACGATAGTCCTTGTTAGGTAAGGTAAGGTTAGGTTAGGTATGGATAAATTAGATTAGGTTAGACTCAAACAACTAAATGTAAAATTCCTGAAGATTGTATTTGCTTAAAGGAATAATACGTTTTGTAAATGATAAAATACTTTCTATTTTCGTTCAGTGACTGTTCGTGTATTCTCCAAAATGGTTCTTTTGTGACTAATATTCCCACTTAGTCGAACCCTCCTAAAAGTGTGGGCTTCCCAAAAAGTGTGTGTATACAGTATTTCCCGCGTCATAACCTTCAAAGGTTCAAAACATCTTGGTCTATATAAATATTTATTCAAGCCTTAGCAGGGGGTCACCTTGGGAAATAAATATGACAATGACATTTGGTTTGTCTTTCCCCGCGCCATTCATTTGAATAAAGAAAATAGTGAAAATATTATGATAGACGGTGTGTGTAGGATGATGAGCAGATTATTTTACGTCGTCAAGTCAGCTCAGGAGATCTTTGTTGGTGAAACACGGGAGTCTACAGCATTTTTCGGCACAAATGGAGTTTTTCAGGTGATGTTGGCGTATACAAAGGCCAATAAACGACATTCTGCAATCTGAAATGACCGTTGTAAACATGAACTGTCAAATATAATAAATAACATAGGAAACATACTCACGACGGGCCGAAAAATGCTGTAGATTGAAACTTCCAGGATAAAGCCATAAATCAACGCTCAGGCACACTCTTCGACCAGTGTTCCTGACAGCAACAAAAATTTTCTGGCAAACACCAAGGATATCAGGTACTACATATTGAGAAGCAGTGGTGGTTATTAAACTGGTTTTTTCTTTGCACATATCCAGTCAGCAACTGACAAGTGAGCTGCACCTCTTTCGCAATTAATTTTTTATTTTCTGAGTCGCTATGTACCGTGAGGAGGCAGTTGTTTGGAGGACAAGTCATTTATTGTGATGTTTAACTTGATAATAAATAGTTTGAGT